GAATTAATGTGTGCATGAATCTTATTTCTCAGGCCTCTTCTGTGTATGGTAGGGGGACAGATTTACAGGTATTTTGTCAAAGCATAAGATTAATGAGTTTGGCTTTGCAACTCAGTTTGGGCTTACTGGGAAGAATGTAACTCAGTCATCAGTACTTCAGAAATAGCTTCTTATGCTACAGCAGCCATATCTAATTTTTGAAATTGTGTGGCAGGTGAGGGAAGGGACCTTGAAGTTAAATGGAGACTAAGACATGGATTTTCAAGATATCTTTTTATCCACAAAATGAGTATTTACTTTATTAACTCATAAAAAATAAATAATACAAAAGCTGATGGTAATAATCACATTTGTCTGTTGGTCAAGAAAACAAGGATGTGAATTTACATCCAAATGCAAATCTTAAACAGGAACCTACGTTTCAAGTAGATACAAAACTGTCTCCCCAAGCAGTGGAGTTGTTCTTGCATAAATTTTTCCAATATTTCCAGTAATTTTCAATATACTTATTAATTTTTCATGAATAATTTCTTTTGCTTAACTGCCATATTAACAGTATTCCATCATAATTATTAATTGTAGTCTTCTATCTAGCAGTCATTTTGAAGAAACACATTTTTACAGCTAATGGAAAACTCAACATCCTTGATACATAACACAGTAAGACTGTAAACAGTGATAGTCAATTTTAGAGCATTAATGGTGCTATAATGCTGTTAATTTTATTTTGATGAGCAAATTATATTTTAAAATTTTTCTTTCCCTTTTCTTGAGTGCAGGAGAGAAAAGCTAAAGATAAACCCTGTAAGAGAAAACAAATTATTGTTTGCTTTTAGTATTACAGCATATTAGTATTCATCGTTCATTAGTCCTATAGTCAGTGCGGTAGGTACTGTACAGTAGCATACTATAATACATTCTGCCTGTCTGAAGTGGCTTTGTAGTTAAATTGTAGTTGTGCTTCCTACATGGTATGTTCAGTCTGTGGGGAGACAAATGTTGTATAGAAAATGCTTAAAACATACAGTATTTGTGAGTCTCTATAATTTTTCCTTAACATGTTTTGAAATCTCAGATAATACACACGAAGAACATAGATACATTATACTCTATTTAAGTTGTGGGATCGGCCTCTTTACCATTGTATCTAAGTTCATTCCAAAGTATTATCTACTATTTTTGTCTTTTGTCGTTTTTTTTCCCCTCAGGAAAAAACTATGTTGAAAAAACACCAGCACCTTTCTGTGTACCTTTCCTTACATTAGTGGCATCTTTGCAGTGCTATAAAGTCAAGGATGCTCGTCACCATTCTTTATCCTTGTAGGATGTTCCATGATCTTTGAATACACAAAAAGCTCATGTTGCCTGTGCAGTGCAGCCTTTCCTATTTTGAGGACATTTCTCCTGCACTTCAGAAGCGCCGTGTTTGTCCTTCTGTCAGAGCTCTGAGTGATTTTGTTACCATACTCAACCTGAAGCATCTAGTACTGTGAAGAACTGAAGAGGGGAAAGGGGGACCTTGAATGTGGCATGGTATTGTATGGGGAAAAAAAATATGATTAATGGACGTCTTTGCTGCTGAGAATATTGTCTGCTGCCCTGCGCAGTAGTTAGAATTTCCTGAAGCTGGCAGCTCCATGTCATGTTTGACGTATACTAGCACCTGAATACAGTAGCTGTACTGGGATTAATCCCTTCTAGCTTTAGACGTCCACCCTCTTGACCTCTCTATCAGTGCTAGTCATGGAGGAAGGTGGCCCTTAATAAACTTTGTAAGTTACTTACCTAAGGGTAAAAGTCCATTTTCTCATTTTACCTGACAAATACCTAGTGCTTTTTTTCCATTCCACACTCATACCATTTTTGCATTTTCTTCTGGAGTACATAAAAGGGTACTTTTATGGGTACAAATCCTAGACAATTAATCAAAGAATGAGAGCTGACATCTGTGTGGGTTTTGATAAGCTTAGTTTCTTCTGGTGATGACTTTGGTAGAGCCACCTTAAGGACCTGGCTTTTGCTGTTCATTTTATTGCTCCTTGCACGACCAAGCAGTTTCAGTGTAGTTCTAATACGAGTTTGGTGCTGCTTTTTGCTTTGAGGTGACTGGGAAAAGTGTGATGGTGAACAAGCATGGTTCGTATTAATCTGTCATCAGATCTATCCCATCATCTTCAGAACAGGTGAGGTTGGCAGAGCACAAGTGTACAGTGATCCTTCAAGATGTGTGGTAGCACACATGCTTTCTTGAGCACTGTGTTTCTTCTGTGTCTGTTGTTCAAAGTGCAGAGAGGGGAGTTAGGCAGACACGTCAGTGCATCTGGGTAGTGTATTGCCATTGCAAAAGATGTTGCTTGCGCATTTTCCTTAGTAGATACTAAGTAAGGAACTGGGAATGAGCTGATATTTCACATGCAATAGCATACTTTTTTTAAAAAAATAACTTCTCGGAGTATCATTGCTTTCAATACATGTAAATACAGTCATATACATTAGCAGACATATAGATAGGGTTTTTTATTTAAAGCTAAGATTAAATAAGAAATGAAGGCTAATTGAGAAAGCACTAATGAAATTTAGAGGATGTATTTTGGAAATTTGTCTTGCAGTCAAAACACTAAAAGTTTGCTTTGATGCTTGCTGAATGTTGCTGTTTCTGTGTTTAATTTGTAAACTTTTTTTCTCTGTTGTTCCCTGCCATAGTAAATTCTATTATTTAAAAATAAAATGACAGACTATTACTGCTTGTAGCATTACATATGTTTTACTTAGCTTGTTAATTACTCCATTCATTAGCTGTTAACATGTATTTTATCTCAAGCCAAAGGAAAAAGGAGACTAGCCTAAAGCTCACTTCTGTTCCAATGTACTGCTTCTCTTATATTTTGGTGCTAGCCAGTTCACGTCTTTCAGTGCTGTGCGGTGCCACCCCATTTCTTTATTTCTGTTTAGCATTATTTTCTGCATATACTCTACATTTGCACAGTGAGCTTTTGGTGTACTGCTCACGTGTCCATAGCTTTTATAATCTCTGGTTTCTTGACATTGATGTGCAACCATTATAGAAGCCCAGCACACAGCAAATTTTGAACATTAATAGAAAGAAGCTTTAATTAAGGTGAAACAGAGCTGGTGGAGGATGTTCATTCTACTGCATCAGTGTCAAAAAATTGGTTGCCATGCTAATGGCAAGTGCACCCAGTGTAGCATGTATCTCGTTCACTGATGAGCAGGGACCATTAGTCCCACTAAAGAAAGCTTTTGACAAAAAGGTCAGAGCACGTTCTCCTGAGCAGTCATGTTGTATTTGAATTTTGAGGAGTAAGCTTCCTTCCAGGCAGTTCCACACGGGCTCCTTTCTCCCATCACTGGGCTCTTTTGTTTTCAAAGGTCTCCTATTAGTTTCCTAAAATGGCAACAGCTTGTCCTTGATATCTATAATGATTTATTTTTCTAAGCAATTAAATTTGATTTCTTAAAGCTATAGCAGCTTCCTCATTACAGAGAATGAATCACTGAATAAAAAATGCAAAGGCTCTGAGTGTCAAAGGCGTGCTCAAAGTTTAATTTGATTTCAAGGAAACACTGTAGGGCTTGAGGGAAGCAGGGCAGGATCAATGCCTGAAGTTGGGTTGTCTCCACATGAAACCATTGCAACAATGGACCACTCCCAGCAGCTGTACTTATAAAGCCTGAACATCCTTTTCCCAAACAAGCAGCAAGCTTGAGGGGTTTTGTGTCACCAGCTTGTAGAACCAGATGCAAATGCAGGTATCCTGTGGCTTGCACACCTGCTGCTAAATATTTAAATGTGTTTGGAGATCCCATAAATTTCTCAGTGTTTTGTGGAGGGTTTCATGAAGAGGTTTATTGTTTAGAGCACTTCTGTAATTCGAAAATCAGAGTTTTAATGGCCTGTACCTGCAGTCTCATCTTTTTCATTGTTAAATACAGCAGTATTATCATACCTGAAAACAGTTTAATTGTCAACATTCATTTCCATATATAAGAAAGTATTATTTTCAGATGTTCGCCTTTTTATTTCATGCATAAAACCAGGCTTGTTAAAAATGAAAATGTCCTTCTGCACTTGGAAAGTTATGAGGGAAAGAAAAGACAAATGCAGGAAATTTTGGTATTTCATGTGATTTGTTTTTTTCAGTTTTGCTGGCACTTGACTTTAAAATGTTCCCAGACTTTTTTTAAAATTATTTTTATAATACCCTGAAACTAATGAATGAGGCTTATTGTCTAAGACTTTCAAAGTGTTTCAATTCGCATTATTATGACGTGACCAAGTCAGGTTAGCAAATTCTGAAATGAAATAAAGAAAAAAAAAATGATGTTTTAGGCTTCTATATCCATGTTTAGGCTTTTACGTTAGTGATCACAGTTCATAGCAGACACCATTAACCTTAATTGACAAAATTATGAAAATCAAACATTGTCATTAGTGGGACTATACTACAGTGTACTCTTCTTCTGAGTACCAATGTTGCCTGTTGATGGGAAAATCTTTATGTCACTGCAAGATGCAGTCTTACACAAAGGCACATATATAAACAACATCTTTGCAGCTTATTTTTCAGACAGAAATTTGCATACTGCTTCAAAACACTTTGAATGCATTTCCATTCATCTGTCATTTTTAAAAATGGGGAAGATGGCAGTATGTACCTATTATTCATTTATCATTCCACAAACATAGTTTCGGGTAGTTGTCAGGGGAACTACATGAAAGAAAAGGAGAAGTAGGACAAAAGATAACAATACAAGCTGAATTCTTAAGATCTGAAATGCTCCCTTAGACTAGATTGATACTTGAACTATTAGAATTGTTTAATAAGTGATAGGAATGTTTAATGTTTTCTTAAGCTTTTTTTAAAAAAATATTTAAATTAAACCAACAGCGAAATATACTAATGACAGGGGAAAAAATTCTACTAATTGCACCGAGTGTGACTGACTGTTTTGCTTCTTTTTTTCCTCACCAGGATTACACTTTGACTATGTATTTTCAACAGTACTGGAGAGACAAGAGGCTGGCTTACGCTGGCATACCTCTCAACCTCACGCTTGATAACCGAGTGGCAGATCAGCTCTGGGTGCCTGACACTTACTTCTTAAACGACAAGAAATCATTTGTGCATGGTGTTACCGTGAAGAATCGAATGATTCGGCTTCACCCAGATGGAACAGTGCTTTACGGCCTCAGGTCTGTACTTCCATGATGAAGATTTCATCACCGTTGTTACGTATTGTTGATGTTTGCTTCCCAGTGCAAGGTTATTACAACGATTGGGTAGCTTATTATGTAACCTTCCCTTTAACTCTGAAAGATGCCTGTAGAAAACAAATGACACACTCGATGTTTCTTAATTTTGCCAGAAGCACCTTCAGTCAGTTTTTATCTGTTTCTGTAGTCACCATATCTGGAAAGCCCACTGGCTCTAGGAAGAAGAACGGCACGCATTAATTGTAAACCTGAAAATTTGGTCCAAAATACAGATTGAACGTGGGTGCTTATGTTGTCTTGTGATGTGTGTGTAGTCTGTAAAGAAAAAGCCACAAGCAGCCGTGGTTGGCTGGAGTCAGACACAGTTAAGACCATGATTTCATACCTTTAGGCATTTATTCAGACAGGGATTGGCACTGCAATGTGTTATATTTCAAACTAGAGGTACAAAGTGACCATACTTTATCCTACTTTATACCTATTATAGGCTTGACCCGTGTTTTCTTTATTTTCTGTCATAGCTTTTGTGGTTAGGAATTCTGAAAAATCCTTCCTTTAGTAAACATCATTATACTAGCAAACATCTTAACGGAAGACTCAGTAGTATCAAAAAGTTGCTGTCTTTGCACAGGTTACTCCATTTGCTCCAGTGGCTGAAACTGTACCAGCAAAACAAGTCTTTGCCAGTGGAAGCTCCATTTCCATTATCAGAAGTTTCTTGTATCTTTAAGCATAGATAATATTCAAGATTGCTCCACATAGGTAGTACAGGATAAGGAGTCCCTAGTATAAAAATGAATGAGATCTGAAAAATGGTGCAGGGTTATATGCCTAGTATCATTATTTTACATGCTTTTGTTTTTTTTCAACAGTTGAACTTTTTACCTGATTTGAGTCTTGGCCCCTCACCTCTCTAACTCCTATTACATATGATGTATGACCTGTAATTGAATGAATCTTTCTAGACAAAATAAAAGTAGATTCAGCCTATTATGAAACTTTAAAGAAGTTTAGGATGTTCAGGAAATATTGTCTCTGTAATTAACTGGTTTTAGCAAAATGAGGCTTTCATCTTGCATGCTTTTGACCCTGTAGGGAGCACTGCAGGTTTAGGATTCTTTCCACAAGTAGTTAAGTATTAAGAAATTATGCAAGATATTTTTACTTCCTTTATCTCAAAAAAACATCCCCACAGGCAATGTAATAAAAAAGTGATGGAGGTTAGAACTCTTGTGATCATGGTAATGTATAGAAGTCTTTCTGTCACACTCTAAAAACATTTGGAGTCATTCAGGTGAGGATTATCTGTCATAAAATGGTTTATTTGAATAAAATAGCCTTCAATTCTGCAAAATGTAAATATCCACAAGCAGATTGCTTTTCACTTGATAGTATTTGCTTGGCAGGGATTTCACCAATGGCTCATGCGTGTCAATCTTCTTTCCATTCACTTTCCTCTGAAAGCACACAATGTCCATGGTCAGATATCCATGGTGTGAAGCAGCTGAGTTACTTAATGAAGAATAACTTTCTGAAATTAAATCTCAGAAACATATAGGACATTGTGAATTGGAAGGAAGAAAATACCTGTGCTTTAGCTCTCTTGATTTAAAATCTTGAGCTTTGTATTGCTCTAACACTAGCCTAACTTCCTGTGTTGTGGCTTCAGAGCATCCTGATGGCATTGGCTTCAAGCCACAGCCTGGAGGCAGTGATTCATCCTGTAGCCTGAGACCAGAACCCAGAGTTTTATGTGCCACAAAGCACAGGGTCACTGAGAATAATAGGGGAAATTTTGGAGTGTTAAAACTGGTTATAGAATATCCATGGAGCAGAGCAGTTCCTCCACAAAATATATAACAAAAGTAATCCCGAGGCCACACTGGCTGTGTTCACTTATGAACAATGTAGAATTTATCATAGTTTTGAAGGACTTGACCTTTAGTTGTTCAAGGTTTCGCTCTGCTTCAGAGAAAGCAGTTTGCTACTGCAGCAAAAGTCTGTGAGGGTGGGGGAACGGGGTAGTAGCTTTTTGAAGTTCAGCCCATTTCTGGGGAATTTTTTTCTTTGGGCATGATACTTTGTCCAACATTGTTCAGAACAATATACAAGACATATGATGATACAACAGCTTTTTTTCATAATAGACCAAAAAGAAATAATGACATTATAGACTGAAGATCAAAAATAGGGTCTTTCCAACCGCTTGTGTGTTTACCATATATACACCTCATGTTCTCAGGCAGTACAATGCTAAATGTTATAAAAAAATAAAGTGGAAGAATATATTTATTTTATCTGAAAGGACTCATGTAGTTATTGCCTGTATATAAAACATGATAGATGTTTTCAAGGTGAAAAGATTGTTTGCGATCTGTCAGACAAGGCAAACGGACTTATTTCTGTTCTTTTTTGAATGACTGTATTTCTGTATCAAGATGAAAAGAGGATCAAATTAGCCATCAGGACTGTGACCTAGTCACATAAGAAGTGTTTATATTGCTTAGTCTGATTTATATTGTAAACTTTTGGGGGACATAAAATATCCTTCTGTCAGTCGTTTATGTGGGACCTCCCAGCACGTCACAGGTGGGCTTCCTACACAATACATCAAAATAATCAAAGGCAATCAGCCCAGTAATAAAGTAGCAGAGAAGGGTAAGAGAAGCTTACAGAGGACAGATAACTGGAGTTGGAAATTCTGAGCAATTAAAAGTATTTCCTTTGTGTATTGCTTTTACCCAAAATGTATGTGTATCTGTGTACCGCTTTATCTTTGTCTGGCTGGTAGTTGTTTCTCTGTCACTGCTGTGATGATGAGTTCTTGAAACCTTGTTTTCCTGTTGTGTCACGCAGCATCCCATCCCATAAAAAATAAACCGGCTCTTCTTGGGAGCATGCACAAACCTGAGTAATTAACATCTGTTTTGGTGAGCATTTGTGCAAGTTAAATTTGGTTGCTTGAACATTCATTCAGGAGGGACCTCTGAGCACTCAAATTACTTTGAGTAAATGGGGTAAAACTGTTCCTATCTATATCTAGCTGTACCTTCTTTTCTAGTAGATATTTATGAAATTAAAAACATACATTTTGCTGTAGTGTAAAAAGTTACTTGAGCAAGAATGTGCAGTTTCTTGTACTGTAGCACAGTATGTGAACAGGCCAAAATAAAAATATATTCCTCATAAAGTCATAAGGCAATTAGTAAGTTGAATGCAAGTATGCCAGCTGCATAATTTTTAATAATTCTGTCAAATTAATCATTTGTAAGTGCATGTTTTCTTTGTGGCTGGCATTTAAAGATAGTTATACAAAATAATAAAGACTATTAACACTCCCTCTTGTATCAACTTAGCTCATGTAGATTCTGCTGCAGGATCTTAAATAAGCCATAGGTTAGTGTGGGTGAATGTACTGACCCATGGGATAGAAACCTCATTGCAGCAACACCCAAGTGTGCCTGCAAGGTTTTACTCTGAGCACAGTTGCCAGTTGACTCAGGAGCAAGATTGCACAATCAGTATGGCTTTGCAAAGTCGATCACTGCTAAGACCTTGTCATTTAAAATGTTCATCAATGATCACAGATTTAAGACTAAATTTTCTCTTCTAAGACCCTAGGCTAGTCCTAGTTTTATATACTTATCTGGAGCTACTAGTAGTCATCATATTGAGGAGACATTCATCTCCATAATTAATAGCCCTGTGACTAGCACCTTGCTTGAGGGTCCAGAAAAGCACTTGCAAATGTTGACTGCAGAGAATATGGCCCCCTAAACTAGAGATCAGCTGAGTAATTGCTGTTTGTAAACTATTCCTGCACACTGGGACGTGTGTTAACAGAGGAACCAGAGCATCTCCCAGCAGGCAGCTGGAGGAAGGTTGACCTGCGTATCCTTGTGTGATACTTAGTACCTGAAAGCCTATGAGACTAATGTAATGGCGTTCAGAGGACAGCCAGAGTGAACAGCAGTGGCAGAGACATGATCATGCCATAGATGAGGCTGGGAAGGGCAAAGATCATCTGTGTGCCTTTTTTACTGGCTACTGGTAGGAACACAAGTGAGAAGATAGGCTGAGAACAGATCCTGGAGCTTTTTCTTCTCCTATCTCATCCATTGCCTTTGTGCTCATACAACTATCTCTCCCTGTGTAAAGAGATTGTATTCTCTTGCACAAGCACCTTCTCAGTCAGAGAAAGGTGGCCTCTGTTGTCCTATGAGATAGTTGTAATGGTCTTAATCCCTTCCTTTCGATATTATTGATCCAAAACAACCTATATGCTAAGGATAAGCATTATTTCTTTTCTTTTCTGGGAGATTGGATAGGGCATTCGTAATAACAACAAGGATTTTTTTTTTTTTTAAGTAGGAAAGAGTTGAAGAAAGGCACCTAACTACTCTTCTCCACTTGAAATGTTTCCCCTGAATTTTAAAGTAGTTTACCAGACTGTCATTTCTCAAGGTTAAGACATTTAAAGAGAAAGCTTTACTTCAAAACGGAGAACACACATGGACAAAACCTTAATATTGAGGTTCACAACTTTTAGAGGTACATTTAAGGCATCTCCCCTCTTGTATTATTAGCACAAATTATCACTAGCATATTATTTGTTTAGACACTAACTGTGTACAGGATCCATCTCTTGTTTATATCAGCAAAGGATCAGTAAGGGATGGACCTAGTCAGGTCCAGTCCAGAAGATAATTTAAATGTGAAATTTATATGAAGTCATTATGAAGAAAACGATGCATAACAATGTACATACTCTTGATGAAGGCTGTGATTCAGCAAAACACTGAAATACACTGAAGATGAATCATGAACATATGGTTGTATCTGTCTAAAAGTTAGTACAAATATATAAATCTATTAATTTAAAAATAAACTGCCTATGCTGTGTGAAGCTGTTAATACAATTCTTTTGGTTGTGCACGTGTATTGTTGGCACTCCTGATATACAAGAGCTTGATGAAAAATGCAGATTCATCAATAGAGAAATGTTTTGCAAATTAATCCTTAGAGTGCTAAATTGCCTGCACTGGAAATAGAGAAGCAAAAATATATTCCTATCTGGGGAGAAAATTTAAAATTCATTATGGCACTTCATTGTAAAATCCTCTTTAATTTACTTTTGAAAACTAGAGAAATGTACTCAACTTTGAAATTTAGGATATTTTTTCAACATTACAGATTTTTTTAGAGGTGCCACAGAAGCAAGGAATCAGTCATTCACACAGCTCTAAAAATTTTGACGTTTGTAGCAGACTTTTTTCAGTTCAAATTTTCTGATATAAAGAAAATTTTTTTTAATCTCAGCAAATGTTTGTGTAATATTTGCATATGTGGATAGGTCCATGGAACCCCAAAGGGCCTGGTTGCGTAAGGGTAAGTCACAGTGAGTTGTTCTGTTGCAGTCAGTGTAACCACAGTTGCAATAAGCTGCTGCTCTATTTAAAACGATGGACCAGATTCTTGGTTATTGCAAGCTATTCTTCAGAGAGTCCTCACTTTGAAAAATAAACAACAACAAAACCTGGCTTATCGGCTCTATAGAAATTCTGTTTGATGTTTATATTTCAGAATCACAACCACTGCAGCTTGTATGATGGACTTGCGAAGATACCCATTAGATGAACAGAACTGTACTCTGGAAATAGAAAGCTGTATGTACATAAGAAAATGCATGTAAAATTCAGATGTGGGGTGGTTTTCCTTTTATAGAATTGTGTAATATTTACACTGGTGTCTACAAACACTATGTGAATCATGCAATTATCACCCTTTGGATTTTTTGTTTGTGTATTTGACTTTTAAAAAAATAAGGGGTCATCCATTTCTAGATGGATGGATACATCCTAGAAAAATGGGTTTAGGACAGAATGAAGCCACTGACTTTGCAGAGGCAGTGACTGGGTGCCTATCTTCAACACAAGAGAATGCATGGTCGTATTTTAGTCAGATTCCTTTTCAAGAAAGGAAACACTATGATATCATTTTCTTTCAGTATGCTTTATTATGCATGGATGGTCTTGCTGCAGGACCTGCCCTGGGCTTTCAGATCAGCCCCATTCATGATTTGCAGTTGTGTTCCACACAGAACCAGATTGTCTCTTCCACCTAGTCATGTCCTAGGACTGCAATATTCAGATGTATATTTGAGCTTCAAGAGTTCCTGCTCCATTTCTGTTACTGACTGGAGACTGTGGGCCGTATACAGAAAATACAAGTATATATTCTATATTCAACTGTAGTCCTCCACTACAGAAGCTAGCGCAAATGGTATGACTCACACTCTTTAGTGTGAGTGGAAAAGATCTGCCCCAATTATGTTTGCCTGTATTCACTGAATAATCTACCTTCCTCCGGTGATTATCAGCATAAATATACACTTTGTTTCAGTGCTAAATGCATATGATGTCTTAAATCATGCTAATCTGCAATTTTGGAGATTATTGGGTAGCATTTTCTGTCTTGTTGGTCCATTAATCCTTATGTGAATTTTATGAGTAATACAAAAGAAAAAAAAAAGAAAACAGCATATTTTGCCTCAAATTCCTGGGCAGACTGTAGTAGCACAGCTCTTCAGGAGACCTTCCCACAGGCATACAGAACAAAATACCACGCACCACTCCAGCTGTTCTGATTCTTTTCATTGTCTCAAATGCCAAACCATTTGCACTGTGTTTGAAGCTACATTTGACTCTGCTGTTATTCCTGACTTACTCTCCTGCTTTGCCTGCAGATGGCTACACAACCGACGACATAGAGTTCTACTGGAGAGGTGGAGATAACGCGGTCACCGGCGTGGAGAGGATTGAGCTTCCTCAGTTCTCCATTGTGGAATACAGACTGGTGTCAAAGAATGTTGTCTTTGCCACAGGCAAGTATTGTCATTTGCTCATTTAGTGTTTAATTTCCTTGCATATGAAAATGACTTTTATTAATAATAATTAATCATTATTAATTATAATTATATATAGTCTGTGTTGTGTGTTTGGCTAAAGGAATTACTTACTTGATAAAGCCTAGAGGTAGGAGGCCATGAAAAAGCATTTCTTGTTTATTTTTCTTTTTCTTTTGTGTGTGTGATACTTAACCAGGTGCCTAAATACCTATGATCTAAATAAATATGAAGTCATTCATCTCCGAATCATAAGTTTAAATGTAGCCTACAGAGTTACTGATCACACATAAGTATGTTTTGGCATACTAGATCAAAAAGCCATTGGTTTTGTGAACACCTCCCTGCAGCTTTTCAGTACGTGTTTGTTTTGTTGTTTTATAGTGAATGTAATGTCTTTTATGTCTTGATTTGCACTGATGGGTATGTAGTACTGTATATATAAATGGCCAGTGCTTTTGTCATCATTGTTAAGATGCTAAAATTAAATCCTTGGCTTTCCTCTTTGTTTCCTTGAAGACGTAATAAAAGTTACTGGTAACTCAACAGCATTGCATGTCTTCAGGTGACAAAGCACAATGTTGATTTACATGTATAAAGTTAGACAGCAGCACAGGAAAATGTTGTTGTGTGTGACAAGACCAAAGCAATGCAGGTGGCCATCAGCAGGTGTGGGGCCACTGTCTGAGACCTCCAGATTTTCAGTGCTCTTCAGACTGCAGGAGCGTGCTGTTCTGTCTGTCCCAGCACACTAGAACAAATGAAGCACAGCTCTATTATGTCTGTGAGCATTACTTCACCCACTCTTTGGACACAGCATCTGTTTCAAAGTACACAGAATCACAAGTTGTATTTCAGAACAAAATGTAAATATTGCTGGGATTGAAATTAATATTAGGAGGCTTGCCAACTGCCGCTGTTCTTGTTTATCATTGTGAATGGAAGGTTTTTTTCCTATAGAGAAACAGATACTCTAATCCTATGCTTCTGTTACGCCACTAGTGTCACATTTGGCAGCCAGGGTTTACCTGCCCCTCCACAGGACTGGATACACTTTTGTAGAATGGCTCTTTTGGACAACAATGAGAATACAGAAATCTTATTTGGGAAGGTTTTATTACAGTCCAAAGCCACCTTTTAGCTCAGTATGAAGTAGTTCAGTAAAGGCATGATTTGGTAATTTAGAGATGAGAGAGATTTATTAAATTCAAGAAAACGAGAAACCCAAAGAGCTGTGAAACAAATATGAGAGAGAATGAAAACTAGGAGTAGCCATTTATATGACTCACCAAATTTTCAGAATCATAACAGTTCTTTCAAAAAAAAACCAAAAACTTGTGGAAGGAGTAAAAAAGTCTGATGCTTCAGAGTTTAAGGCAGCTTGACATTAGGGAGTAAAATGAGACAGTCACAGAGAACAGATTACTCCCTGTTTCTTGTACCATTTTCTGAAGCACACAATTTTTGTAACTGATGAAGACACCGTACTAAGTTTGCTGTTATTTTTGGTATAGGACATTATGCAACATTATGAAAGTGCCTAATTATTTATGAAATTTTGTGACAAGTATTTACATGCAGGGGAAACATCACATTTGTATTATCAAAACCACATTTAATTCTAAATCTGAAGCATGCTGGTGAATCTGATGAATAAAGTTGGCACCCTCTTTTCAAATTTCTTCTCAAGACCATACTTTCTTATGGTCCTTGTAATTAGGGCCAGTTTCTACATTTTTGTGGAAAATAAATCAGGCATGCTTTTTTTTTATGGCTTTGAGGTTATTGAAGTCTCAGGGGAATACATTAGTTCTTTGAGTGCAGTATCTCAGTGAACATTTCAGAGATTTCAGTACTGGTGTGCTTTGATTGTAGAAAACTGAAAGACAACTTCAGAGTCATGCCATAAACAGTTTTTTGGAGTAGTTATTTCTCCTGTCCTCCATGAGGAACAGTGCTGTATAATCTTGTGTAACTTATGCAAATGGAAAAATCTGTTCCCATAGTTACTACTGAGAAGCAACGGTAAACATGGGAAAAACCCCATAGATAATAACAGATAGCTGTGGGGGGGCTGCAAGAACACTGGAGGAACTGGATGCATGTTGAAGCATAGCACTGGAATTAAAAATGATCAAATTAGGAGAATGCGTCTGAAAAAAAGCGTAAAAGTCAGTATGGACAAGTGCAAAATGCAACATCTATACAACTAGTTATTCTTATCCAAATTCAGGATAAGGAATACCAGGTTAGACCAGGGCTCTGTGTGTAGAAATTTGGGGGTTGCTGATGATCACAGACTGAACATGAGCCAATAACATCTTTCGGGAAAAAAACAAAACAAAACAAAAACAAAACACACCCTATAATGAGTCTGACTTGCATTGCTAAGGCCTGAGCTGAGTATTTGTGGTCATGGATAGCACTCTTCAAGACAGTTGTGGAGCAGGAGAAGAAGGTTTAGAGAAAATTAGTATGAGTTGAAGTCTAGAAAATTGAATACCTGATATTACCGGAGAAACAGGTATGATTGTGTAGTTTAGAAAAAGAGAACACTTGGTAGAAATTCAAGTCTTCAAGTATCTAGAAGGTACCTGCAAAGACATGGGCAATAGCCTGTTCTCTTTATTCATGATGGAAAGAAGATAAAGTAATATTTGAATTGCTAAGAAGAAGAAAAATCTGTTTTGGCTGTCCTCTAACACCAGCTGAAGGCCATGCAGACTAGCATAAGACATCTAAAATGGCACTGGATGCCTATGTGTCAGTAACTGAATTAAACCCATAGTCAAATTATATCACATCAGTGTTGTCAGTGGAGCCTAAAGAGCTATTCAGCTCTTGAACACCTCTGTTCTGTCAAGTGAATAGCTCTCAGGACACTATTCAGTTGCCTAAACATAGGTATCTGGTGCCTCTTGAGATGCTGCAGAGCATCCTGCTTAGCAGTTAGGCTGCTGTTCCAGAGTCTTACAGTCTTGTGTTCTGTGTGACAATCTAGTGCTTCAGTATTAGTTACTTAATTAGTATGAAGTTTTACCCTTCAGTAGCCTAATGCATCTCAAATGGCGTTAGATACCTCTGTATACGCAGTTAAATCACACCCTTAGAATCAGTTGGCTGTAAGTCTAGATCTCTGTGGTTTACACTGAGAGCTTATGCACCATCCAGGTGTAAAGATCTGCATGTAAACACCTGAAATATAGTGCCTAGACCTGTGATCTGAATCTGCCTCCTAAATGTTTGTTATCCTGAAATGCTGAGAAACTGAACAGGAATGGAGATATGTAAAACACCACCTAAAAGCTTCAAGATGCATAGCAGTCAAAACCAGCTTAGCAACCTGTTGGTAAGAGGAGGGTAGTCTTAAAAGATTTTAAAATTAATTATTTGCTGTATTCTGAAAGATCAGTCTGTAAAGTGCATTTCCAATTAGCTCAAGAACCTTCCCAGAAGAACAGATTAAAACAAGAATTTTGTAACTGACCAACTCTGTTATCTTTGCATAAAACAGCAAGAGACTAATTTAGCCTTGGAGCTAGATATTTCAGCTTGCTAGCTTTTAATGAAATTGAAACAGAAACGAGTAATTACTTTTTACCAAGTGCCCAAATAGATGAAAGGGGAATATTCTGGGCTCAGTTATTGATCAAGTATTTGTTTTCATGCCTGCATTTTCAATACTGTTGTTAGATTTAAATACTTCAGGCCAAATTCTATTATTCCTGTACTATTTAAATTAGCCCATAGACATCAACATGTTATACGAGATGGGAGGAAGGGTAACAAATCTGATGCCTGAACAGCAACACTGTTCTTTAGGGAAAAAAACTAATTTTGATGGAATGTTAACAACTAAAATTTCCTGGTAATTAATCTCTAAATATACTGAGCCTTAATTGACAAATCATTATCCAAGCATAATCAGGCACGTAACAGTGTAATTGTTGAGCTCACCAAGAAATAATTTTTTATTAAATAAATTGCACAAGATGGTTGCTTCTTAGATAAATAAAGATCTGGGTTTACAATCTTTGTTCCGTGCAGGTTAGGACGCATCGTTTTCACTGAGCCAGTCAAAGAGGGGGAAGTAAGCAGAGGAAATAAGGAACATTCCTTCTTTTAATTCTCTTTTTCCACAGATTCCTGTGGTCTGTTTGCTGGAGGTGAGATACTATAGCAAACATGTCAGGCTAGAGGCAGGGCCAACAGATGATCTGTGAAGGCATAAAAGCAATACAGATGAACATAGTAGAAACTTTTGTAGTCTCAGGTAGAGCTACCTAAAGGAGAACTCTGCCTCCGTAGTCGCGGAAAAAAAAAAAAGGTTACCAGTTCATGTTTCAGTTTCAAGCCAAACTATACAAAGACCAAATTATTCTGAAATTTTCTGAGATCTAGACCTCCCGATAAAATTTGAGCTTGGAAAATTGCCACAAAAGAGGATGACATTCTATTTACCTCTATGAAACTGAGCAGTGTGTCAACTCCAGTAAGGAGCTGTAATGCCAGGAAGACTTTTGGTTAGGTTGCTCAGGAGCCACAGACCCTCAGACGTACCCTGAGCCTTGCACGGCTGGGATTCATCTTGCTTTCATTTAAGGTGAATATAATTTCAGTGTCTACATTGAACTAAGTGTCTTAGTTGATGGGAATCTAGTCAATACAGTCAGTGGAGTTTGGAGACAAATTCAGTCCACCAATAGGAGACTATTTTAGGAGAAGATGGATAATTCTCTAGGTTTTATTTGCTAGATTAACTAGATGAAATGACTCTCCCGTAATCAGAGGTTAAGACACATAGCTCATGTGTATGCTATTCAAGTGAGTCTCTTAATCAACTGCTGTTGGGTAGTTGCCTTAGTCTCCAGCTGCTGATCAAAAATATGTAGGAGCTATGTCATATCCACCAGCTGCATCCTGACGTCTGAGATGTTAATAGGGCATCTCAAAAGGGACAGTGCACCTTCAGATTCACA